AAGTTCCTTCTGGAGTTGCTCTGCAAGAAAAGAACAAAAAATTCAGTTACTAACAGTGCTAACATTATGACAGATATGGCAATTTTCTCCCTTATAGTTATGAGATTTTAATGTATTAAATTTCTGAATCCTGTTGGGCCAGGGGTTTTATGTAATTCCACAAGAGAGGGTAACCACAACCCAGCAGGAACTAAGGAGTGTGTGTGTGTGTGTGTGTGTGTGTTGGTGGGTGGATGTGCGGGTGTTATTATCCAAATTCACACCCCGAGAGAGGCCCCACATCCAAGGGAGGCTCCCATATGCTAGTTTAAACTGGATTCAACAGAGGCCACAGAAATAGAAAGGACCTTTTAATAACAATTGGAGTTCACACCGACTCGGGCCTTCTCTCTAATCCAGCAAATGGACAGGACTTTCTGTCAAGGTGTACAGGGAGATTTTCGGAAACCAGTAAAGTGCCTAAACTCACTATTGCTTAATGCTAAAAGTAGTCAAGTCAGCAGGCCATAAATTGGTCATGGAGTGGCCCATAGCATAACGAAGGCAGGAGGGGAGGGGGGTTTGGTTGCCAGAGACAACACAGTTTGACCCTGCATCCTTCCTGATAAGAATGGTAAAATCCATAGAAAGCTGGCTAGATCGTTGGGCTCAACGGGTAGTGATCAATGACTCCATGTCTAGTTGGCAGCCGGTTTCAAGCGGAGTGCCCCAAGGGTCGGTCCTGGGGCCGGTTTTGTTTAATATCTTTATTAATGATCTGGAGGATGGTGTGGACTGCACTCTCAGCAAGTTTGCAGATGACACTAAACTGGGAGGCGTGGTAGATACACTAGAGGGTAGGGATTGGATACAGAGGGACCTAGACAAATTAGAGGATTGGGTCAAAAAAAACCTGATGAGGTTCGACAAGGATAAATGCAGAGTCCTGCAATTAGGACAGAAGAATCCCATGCACTGCTACAGACTAGGGACCGAATGGCTAGGTAGCAGTTCTGCAGAAAAGGACCTAGGGGTCACAGTGGACAAGAAGCTGGATATGAGTCGAGAGTGTGCTCTTGTTGCCAAGAAGGCTAACGGCATTTTGGGCTGTATAAGTAGGGGCATTGCCAGCAGATCGAGGAACGTGATCGTTCCCCTTTATTCGACATTGAGGCCTCATCTGGAGTACTGTGTCCAGTTTTGGGCCCCACACTACAAGAAAGATGTGGAAAAATTGGAAAGAGTCCAGTGGAGGGCAACAAAAATGATTAGGGGTCTGGAGCACATGACTTATGAGGAGAGGCTGAGGGAACTGGGATTGTTTAGTCTCCAGAAGAGAAGAATGAAGTGGGATTTGATAGCTGCTTTCAACTACCTGAGGGGGGGTTCCAAAGAGGATGGCGCTCGGCTGTTCTCAGTGGTGGCAGATGACAGAACAAGGAGCAATGGTCTCAAGTTGCAGTGGGGGAGGTCTAGGTTGGATATTAGGAAACACTATTTCACTAGGAGGGTGGTGAAGCATTGGAATGCGATACCTAGGGAGGTGGTGGAGTCTCCTTCTGTCATAACTATAAAGGGAAGGGTAACAGTAATATAAAATCCCTCCTGGCCAGAGACTCCAAAATCCTTTTACCTGTAAAGGGTTAAGAAGCTCAGGTAACTTGGCTGACACCTGACCCAAAGGACCAATAAGGGGACAAGATACTTTCAAATCTTGGGGGGGGGAGGCTTTTGTTTGTGCTCTTTGTTTGGGAGTTCGTTTGCTCTTGGGCCTGAGAGGGACCAGATATCAATCCAGGCTCTCCACATCTTTCTGAACAAGTCTCTCATATTTTAAACTTGTAAGTAAACAGCCAGCCAAGGCATGTTAGTTTACCTTTGTTTTCTGAACTTGTAAATGTACCTTTTACTAGGGTGTTTACCTCTGTTTGCTGTAACTTTGAACCTAAGGCTAGAGGGGGGTCCTCTGTGCTCTTTAAGTTTGATTACCCTGTAAAGTTATTTTCCATCCTGATTTTACAGAGATGATTTTTACCCTTTTCTTTAATTAAAAGCCTTCTTTTTAAGAACCTGATTGATTTTCCTTGTTTTTAGATCCAAGGGGATTGGATCTTGATCCACCAGGAGTTGGTGGAAGGGAGGATGGGGGATGGTTAATTTCTCCTTGTTTTAAGATACAAGGGGTTTGGATTTGTATTCACCAGGGAATTGGTGAAGAGTCTCTCAAGGCTACCCAGGGAAGGGAATTAGCATCGAGAGTGGTGGCAGCAGACCAGATCTAAGCTGGTAGTTAAGCTTAGAAGTTTTCATGCAGGCCCCCACATCTGTACCCTAAAGTTCAGAGTGGGGAAGCAGCCTTGACACCTTCCTTGGAGGTTTTTAAGGCCCGGCTGGACAAAGCCCTGGCTGGGATGATTTAGTTGGGAATTGGTCCTGCTTTGAGCAAGGGGTTGGACTAGATGACCTCCTGAGGTCCCTTCCAACCCTGATATTCTATGATTCTATGATACCCTTAGGAATGTAAAAAGCAACAGAGGGTCCTGTGGCACCTTTAAGACTAACAGATGTATTGGAGCAGAAGCTTTCGTGGGTGACTGCCCACTTAATTAGATGCAAGGGTCACTTGCATCTGATGAAGTGGGCATTCATCCACGAAAGCTTATGCTCCAATACATCTGTTAGTCTTAAAGGTGCCACAGGACCCTCTGTTGCTTTTTACAGATCCAGACTAGCACGGCTACCCCTCTGATCCTTATGAATGTGTCTGTCAGGGTCTCAAGATGTGAACAGTCTGAAAAAAACCCACACCTGGTTAAACTGATGATCAGAAGGAAACCACTTGCTTGATCTTTAAAACAACTGCTTGCTTAGCAAGTTTTCTTTAAGGGATATGTCATTGTATTACTAATGTAGAAATAAGAGGGCAAAGTTTAAAGTAGCTGGACTCCTCAGAAGGGGCTCTTCAGGGATGCTCCCTCCAGACATATCTTGGGGTCCATACCAGCAGATGGAAGTCTGGCCAGCGGAAGCCTGTCACGGTGCCACTCGTGAGCCACACTCAGCTTCAGTAATTATCGAGGATTGCGGGTGTTTTATTAATCTGTTGCGGACATGTGTAAGTGCTTGAGACTAAGTAAAGTTTAGCTTTAAGTGAAAGCACTCTCGTGTTGTCCTGTTTGTGCCAGCCATCTATCGGTCAGATGGCCGTGTCTCCCTTGATTTATTTCCTAACACCACCTCACACAGAGTAAAAGTTACCGAGAGCTTTGGGTTGAAAGAACCCCGGGTAACAAAGGGGAGGGTTGAAAGCACTGACACCAACCAGAATTGGAGTTATAGTGTTTTCAAAGATGTTCATTAAAATGGGTTAGCTAACACGTTTTAAAACACAGCTTTTTATCTAGCACAGACAGAATTTTACACCTTGAAATATCCATTAGCATTGGCCAGGACGAGCTACTAAATTTTATTATCCAACTGACATGGGTAATTAATCTGATTACTGAGAGAAGGAGGAAAGGAAAGTTCATATACAGCCCAGTATCTCCCTTAATGTTACAATTTCCATGGGCTTGAGAAACATCTCTGGTTTGATCTGTATTCCCTCTTGTACATAAAAGGGATTTCAAAAGAATTGGAACTTCCCAAATAGAAAAAGCAATGTTAGTGTGACTGCTATAGCTAATGGGCAAGACAATGATTGAGGGGAACTGGGTTCCCATGTCTGCCATAAATTCCCATGTCTCCTTAGGACAGCAACCAAAAGCTTCCTATTCTTCACTTTCCCCATGTGTACAAGGGAGACAATAATATTCAGGGCCTCACAATTTGGTAGGTTGTTTCATTCATTATTGTTGAGAGCGTGCTTAGAGCTCCTCCAGTGGTGGCTGGTTGTGATGGGAAGAAATCCCTCCTTGGGAACAGGAAAGAGAATCTGTCCCTGCCAGGAGCAGCACCAGGGTTTTTGCCGCCCTAAGCAGGGGGTCCTTCCGCACTCCCAGTCTTCGGTGGCAATTCTGCGGGGGGGTCCTTACATGCTCCCGGTCTTTGGGGCATTTCAGCGGCGGGTCCCGGAGCGAGTGAAGGACCCGCCACAGAATTTCCACCGAAGACCCAGAGCACAGAAGGACCCCCCTCGCCCTAAATTGCTTCCGAGGGTGGCAAAATGCTGCCCCCCACATCCTGGCACCCTAGGCGACCGCCTAGGTCACCTAAATGGACGCGCCGGCCCTGGTCCCTGCCCAGAGAAACTGCCAGAGCCTAAAGGGAGGGCAGCCTTAATGGGGCTTCTTAGGAAGCAGAGGCAGCTTATTGAAGGCATTTAGGTACCTCAAAGTGCAGATAAGCACCTAGCTGGATGTTTTAAAGTGCCTAGGCACCTCACACCGACTGAAATCCAGAAGAATGACTCCCATCTCGGCCCCATTTCAACAGTCTAGAAATAATGCATAAACAAGTCTGGCACATAGCACTGCCATAGGCTGGGGCTCATAGTATCCCATAGGCAAGGAGGAGGATTTCAAAAAACACCCAAGTGAGCGAGAAATGAAAACTTTCTGGGGGACTTGTGCTCCTACATCACTCAGGCTGTCGAAAAATCCCACCAATATTGAATAAGATGGTTTAAGGTAGAGCTCCTTGTGCCCTCTCTCCTCATTATGACCCACATGAATATAATGACAATATATGCACGAATATCTGAGACAGACATACCCGTATTTTATGTTTCAAGATAATTTTCCATATAAGGCGACTATGGCTT